CCCACCTTCCCCTTCCCCTCCTGGTATTGCTACTCTCATTATTGGTCCTGAGGGGTTTATCTGTCCTGCATTCCCTGTGTTTCCAGCTACAGACAAAAGAGTATCTATGCTCAACTGAACGCCATTTAGGTACATCTTAAGAACATACCAGAACAATTCTGATCGAGAAAAAACAAAACGCTGACCCTCCACTTTACCAAGCATGATATCCTTCCCCAGGGACTGCTCTGTCTGGACAGCATGTCCAAAGTATATAAGATGGAGATACATCCTCCTTGCCTTGGGCCTATGCATACCAACTTCTCTGAGTTTTCTTGGCCCTGTGCTGATCTGGTTTGGTTTAGAGATGGTCAATGAGGATGGCAATGATAAAGTACTTCCAAGCCAGTGTTTCCTAGTTTGTATTTGGTAAAGATGTGCATGCGTCATCACGTTTTCATCATCGCAGGCATGTGCTTTTATGTCTAGATCCCAGTACAGAAAGCCAATTCTTAGGAATCCACAGAAGGATGTTGTTATGTACCAGCAGGTCAGCCCTAACTCATCCTGACCCGATGCACAACAGAAGGAAACACGGGTGGGTTGGATACCACCCTCACAATTGTTGCTATGTTTGAGCCCATTGCTGTAGCCCCTGTGTCAACCCATCTCATTGAAACCCTTCCTCTTTTTTTACTGATCAGCTATATCAAGCATAATTTCTTATAAAAGAAATTATTCCTTGGGACCAACCAGTCTCAAGGAATTGGAAATTGAAGAAGTCCCAAATGTCCAACTCTTTCAAGATGCTGTTTTTGTTGAGATGAGGTGCCAGGGAGACCATCCCTGCTCACAGAGACCCTCTGTACAACAGAACAAAACACTGACTGGTCTGCGCCATCCTCACAATTGTTACGTTTGAGCCCATCGTTGAAGCCACTGTGTCCATCCATCTCGTTGAGGCCCTTTCTCTCTTTCGCTGCCCCTCTACTTTACCAACCAAATGACACAGGACTAAGTCTCACTATCCACGCTTCCACGGAGCGCTTTGGCTGTATTTCTTCGAAGGGCTAGTCTTCTCCATTCCTGCCCTCCCACCCGCCCACCCCACCCTGCTGCATTATCCCTGCCATATACATCTTCGCGTGACTGGGTTCTGCAAGGTGCTGTAGTGCCCCACAGAGACTTAAAGAGGTTTGAGGAAATAGCTCACTAGAAATAGCTCACTTTCAGTCCAAAACCTGAAAGGGAAGCAAGGGTAAGTCACGTGCTTGATCAAGAGGTTGTGCTCCACTCCTGGATTTTACCAGTGAGATCACGCCCCCTGCTTCTTGGCTCATGTTGTATGCAGCAGGAAGGCATTGCAGCGAATCTTCTGATGCTGTATCTGTCATCTGGATCCAGGACATTCAATGTTCAGGGATCTTGGATCCAGAGGGCATACACCACTCCTGGCTCTTGCTGTTAATGAGAACCTTCCTCCTGCTTCTCAAAGGGTGGACTGGTGCCATACTGCTATGTTCTGCTGAACATAAGCACTTATCTTTCCTATGCTTTGGTTAGATTGAATCTCGATGTTCACAGGCAAATCTAAGTAATTAGATTGAACTACTTCTTTCCTTCCCCCAGGGCATTACTGATCCAGTTAATATCTTTGAATTTGCAATTGTAAATTCCAATGGTACTTTCCCTCCTAGTTATACTCTCAAAATCAACTCTATGGACAATCACACACTGGACTTATGAAGCAGAACCCCAGTCCTGCTTTCCTGGGTGACCAGTTAGTATAGATCATAGGCTACCAAACTTATTTGGCCCACTACCTCTCTTCAGCAAAATAAGGTTACTCTGTGTACCCATGGCAATGGAAAATATTTGTTTGAGAGCCTATCATATAGAATAAAATGTAGGTATCTGCCTTTGCAGCTCCTTGAATTTTTCCACTGACCCCAAGGGGCAGTAAAATCACCCACTTTGGGAAACACTGGTATATACAAAGAAAGAGAACTCAAGATCACACACACGAATAATGTTTTCTCTGCTCACTCACCATGTCAATAACTTTGAGGTGTCCATATGAATAAACAATAGCATTGGGTGGGTTTGCAACAGGTAGGAGGAACGCAAATGAAGTACACAGAGTAGACGGTATCAAAATATAAAGAGGGTTCACTTGAATGGCTTCAGCCTGTTGGAAAAGATAAAAATGAATCTGAGTAAAATTGAGAGCAGGCACCAAGCATTAAAATGAGTATATTTCCTGTAATGAACTTTCCCAGAATCGTGTTAAACCTTGAAGACATAAAATAATGTCTGTAGAAATACAGTTATATCTTGAAGACTTCTTTCCCAGAAAATACTTTTGTTCTTGTTTATATAGTTATTGACAACAACAACAACAAAAAAGATCCATTGCTATTGAATTTATCCCAACTCAAAGGACCCTGTAGGACAGCATCGAACTGGGTTCCCAAGGCTATAAATCTCTGCGGGGGCAAAAAGCCTCATCTTTTGTCTGTTGTAAGTTATATGCTGTGGACACATATTTAAGAATTATAACCTAATGTTTTAGAAAATTAACCTTCATCCCAAGAACTAAATTGAACAATTGCAACCATTTGTTATTTACTTCTAAGTGGTGTGTGTGTGTAGATACATAGATACATATTCTTGCTGAGTGTGATGAAGTCAGTTCCTTCTCTATAGCAACTCATGTGACAAAATAGAATGTCCCATGGGTTTTCTTGCCCATAATCTTTACAGAAGTAGATTGCCAAGTCCTCTCCCACAGAGTTTCTGGGTTCAAATTGCCAACCTGTGGGTTAATCAGTTTTTCACTGTTGTAAATGCCAAGGCTCCTTATACACATGAATGAAGGAGCTGAAAAAAAATTCATGGAGAAATGAAACTAAAAGATAATGGAAAACATTTCTTCTAAAAAAGTGATCTTTATTAGCATCATTGACATAGTTTATAACATTAATGGAAATTTTTAAATTATTTTCAATTCCAGTTGTCCATTAATTTTTAAAGCCCCTCATGTGTGCATTATGTTATTGTGAAAATTAAATGAAGTTACACATATCCATATGTAAATACGCATATGCAAATACAAGTTCATGAAACAATTTTCACTAACTTTCTATTCTATTTTCCACGAACTTTAAGAAGTGCCGGCTTATGTATCTTCATTTAAATGAGCTTTGGGTGGGAGTGAGGGAGCTTTAAAGCACAGATAAAAATCAAGCCCAAATAAATTTATAGTCAAAGCCATTCTCACAGTTGGTAGCAGAACAGTCCCAAAAGATAATCTTTCTTAATTTAGCATGTTGTTTTCTTATACCAAACTCATCCGATTCCATAAGAAGAATTTTTTACTTAAAGACGTTTCTTGTAATAGCCAGCAAAAGTAAAATTTAAAAAGACAGAAAACATCTAAGTTAGAAAAAAAAAAAGAGAAAGGAACACAATTTTTCTCTGCTTCCAACATCTTTACTTCTTCTCCCTTTTTAAATCTTCCTCAGGCTGGTCGGGAATTGTGTCTAATATATTTAAGCTTGAAACCTGAACTGTAAGCCTAGCTCTTCATTCACTTGTAAATCACTTATACGCAGCACTTGCCGGAAAGCCAGGAATAACCTGCAGCCCAGCGACATATCCGTATTAGAGGTCCAAAGTTGCCAGGAAACCCTGAACCTTAAAGCCTTGCAGGTTCAATGGACCTTGCATGGCCCTCTCATTTTTCTGCAAATGAAAATGCAGTGGGGATCGAGAGTGGATAGTTCACTTATCATTAAGCTGCTTGGACAGGGAAGAAAACTAGTCTTAGAAGTAAAGTTTTCCTAACAAAGAAAAAGGTATCGGTGCCAATAGGAGTAACTTTTAAGTTTTTGTAGGAAGACTCTTGGAGTCACAAAGGACCCCACAATACAATATACGAACCGGCATTTCAAAGCCAATCCCTGCTCTGGATGAATAATGACGGGGCCCACCCCGGGGTACTCACCAATGGAGATAATATTGGGAGAAGGAGAGTTATGGTGGCTGGGTTGCTGGCTACCTCTGTTAAAGATGTAACGATCAAAGAAGTGATCAGAATTATCAGCCACACCGGTAAGGAACCTAAAGGAGATAATTGATTTCCTATCCACTGGGAGAGCCCGGACACCTGAAAAACAAATTTGCAAACTTTGTCATTTGTCAATAGTTTATTTTATCAGGCAAAATTTCAATGCATAAGAAGTATAATTGCCTCTCAAAATTCTTTCTCAATTACTGTCTTAATCTCTCATCGTTTTGGTGGTTTGGTGGCTATGCGTGGCTCTGATAGGCTCACACTGAGTCTTAACTTTGTATGACCAACATGCTTGAAGACATGTGACTAGTTCTCCTGAGCCTTTTCAATTAAATATTAATTTTGTTCAGTGAATACATGGGTGTTTTACCAAAGCACACTGTGCCGAAAAACTATAAAAGCAGCCTTCTGAACCACATCTCCCCACTCCTAAGCAATATTTTTTAACCCTTGTTATCTATTTGCAGCTATGCATGGAGCTTTAAACAGATGGAGGGAAAATGGAATTAAAAGTAATGAAAATATTTTTCATTACTTCTTGAAACATCTTCATAGTTAGGCATTTATAGACAGCCGTCAAAAGTATTCTAATTAGCTATTTTTTAATTTTCAATTTATATATAACTTACTAACTTCCTGTTAAATGAGATAGAGACATGAGGCAAGAATTTGAGAGGAGATTAAAAAATAATGTGGTCAATCCTCCATATTGAATTAGGAGCTGGATTTTGAGAATTGTCTGAAAGAGGAGGTGTTATTCCCCAGGTGAGCATCTGAAAGTGATGACAGTTACAGATTAGGAACTGACAGTGACGACAGGACAGGGAGATCATGTTCAAAGACAAATAGAGACGGGTCGTGAGGTGAAGGGCCGAGCCACTGCTGTCACCCCATTCCTGACTTCAAGGTTTAGCTGGATATTGACTGAACTCATTATAATTTGTACCAAATTCAAATAAATCAATGATCTCTGGATCTTTGGGAAAACAAAACAACAAAACAGCTTCTAAAGGTAGATTTATCCCTGGCTGTATTGTTTCAGCTCATGTTTTCATTTTATTTTTCATAGGGAAGGGATTCTCAGAATTCCACAGAGACCTGATTCTCGGCTTTATGATTTCTATAGCAAATTAGACCTCTCTTCCTGGTTCCCCCGATTCATTGCCTGAAAGAAAATAGTTCATCAGGCTGTCTACTCCTTTCCATTTCCTTCCATTTTGGTGGGTTTCAGGCTTGGCCCATGTTAACAAAACCACAATGAGCATTTGACGTTAGACCCAGTCAGACATTCTGAGGAAGAGAAACCAGCAAAGCTCACCTCAGTGTCAAACTTCCTACTTCTGATGTCCCCACAGTTCAAATCAACAGACATAAGGATGAAAGTTATTTATTCTAAGAAACCAGATCACATTACTGCCGAAATCATAGGAGAGAAAAGTAAAAGTACCATGCTCTTATTTCTCCCGTCTACTTGGTATTCTATGAGGCAGGCCAGCCCTAGGCCCAAGAAGATGTTGTAAATGACACTCAGATTTGAGACAATTTATAGGAATGACAGCTATTACTAAAATTCTATTGCTGAAAGCTCTGTATCCAAAAACTACAACAGAAAATTGGCAGTACAGTTAGGAAGAAAGAACAGAAGAAAGAGAGAAGAGGAGATGCAAAAAGTTGAGATTGTTCCTGATATTGAGGAGTAAAAAATTTAACTTCCTAAAAGCCAAAGGACTAGACACTACACCTTCTTGCCTTCAAGTTTGACCAAGCAGAGGAGGAAATGGAACAGGCATGGATTCTTAAGTGTTTCACAAAAGGGTACAAATTACAGAAACGAGAAGTTTTAAACTTAATTTAAGAGTAAAAAATTTTAAAGAAACTTTTTGAAAAGATATTTTTCTTCCAGCAACTGTACAAATGACCAGGGCAATTACAAAGTATAAGCTGCCCCTTCCCCCTCAGATTGCTGACTTATAGCAACTGGGCAGAGGGGTCACCGAAACAGCCAACTGTATTCCTTGTTGTGCTTCCATTTCTTCCTAAAATGATGTACAACATCAACCATGGTCATGCAAAACGCTCTCTGGATTTTATTCAATAAACATTTAGAAAGTGCCTTTGGTGGGAACATTATATCTCCTTTTCCTTCTTTAATAACAATAAGGCCATTGTATTTTGAAGAGACGTACAGAAGCTGCTCAACTTCATAGAAATCTCAAGAATCATTGTACATATTATCTTTATGTTTGTGTTTTTTCTTAGTAAGCTATTCTTCTAATACAATTTCATGGACTTGGACTTTTAATCTTCTTTGCTTTATTTCTTGTGTCATGCTGGAGCACCATCAAAAATGGTGTTTTATACTTGCAGTCTGTGAAATGTAGTGAACTCTGAACTCAGCTCAGCTGTGTGCTACAGTCACTGATGGCTATTGAAATGAAATCATTAAAATGATAGAATAAAGTTGAATGTGCCTAAATCCTAAGTGTCTCTGCGTTCTTCTTTTGAATAGTCTTGTTAATTATTAAATATCCTAGACACGGAGTATTACCTGACAGCCATCTGCCAGGGCAAACCCTCCACCGACAAGAATGGCTATGTCCCAGGGCATGAATGACTGGAATTCTTTCCAAGTAATCAGTGGAGAGTAATCAAAAGCAACTGCAAAACAAAAGTCCTATAGTTATATATTGTTCAAAATATGACAGCATGCCAAACACCTCCTCCCCCAGCCCCTGACCCCAAATACTAAATCTTACACATAGTTTGTATTAGTCCTATATTGCTTTAAAGAAATGCTATAATCCGGGTAAAATCTCGTGTGTGGTGTTATATAATAAATTTAGATCAATTATAGTCATTTATAACACAGTCACCCTTTCCACTATCCTTTTGCATATGTTCTATGCAAAATTTTGTAATGTTCTACTGGTTCTGACAGCATCGGGGTATTATAATTATTAAACTGAGAAACAACAACCCCCAGCCATTTAATTGATTCTGATTCAAAGTAACCCTATATAGGTTGTATGACTTTACAGGAGCTGAAGGATTATCTTTCTCCGCTAGAGTAGCCAGTGAACATGAATGGCTGACCTTTCCATTTGCAGTCCAATGGCTGTCACACTAGACCACACCCGTAGGGCTCCTTATTATACGTACTACTCACTACGGATTATTTGTTTCCCTTAATGAAAGCAAAGAGACTTGAAACATTTACTGATGAAGATGAAAGTGTACACCTCTCCATAAAGAAAACAGACATCATCACAACTGAACTGATCAGTCACATCATAATTAATGGAGAAAAGATGAAAGTTCCAAGGATCTCACTTTATTTGGGTCCATAATCAATGATGGTGGGTGCAACAGTCAAGAATTCAAATACATTATTTCACTGTGAAATTTGCCACAAAAGTCCTCTTCAAAGAGCAGAAAGGCAAAGATTAAGCCTTGAAGATTAAGAGGAACCTAACCTAGGATATGGTATTTCCCAAACTCGCGGGAGCCTGGGAGAGACAGACAGTGAGTAAGGCGGACTGGAGAAGAATGGATGCATTAGGAGCAGAGGGCTGGCAAAGAAGGAGGAACCCACGCTGAGGAGCCAGAAGAAGAATCGACAAATCTGGGAGAAGTAAACCAGAGTGTTCTTAGGAGAGAGAGGTTGAGACACCATTGTCCAGACTTTGAACACATTTTCAGGAAGGACCAGCCTCTGAGAAGGGACATCATGCATGGTGGAGGGTCTACTAAAATGAGGAAGAAACTCAGTAAGATGGATTGACACCATGGCTGCAATGATGAGCTCAAACCCAGCAAAAATGCTGAGCACGGGGCAGGATTGCAGAGTGGAAAGGCTGCTGTACTGAGAATTGCTGAGTCAAAATGGACTTGACAGCACCTGAAAGCCAACACCAACAACCACGTATTCCGGTCATGAATGGGTATGATAGATTAATCGGGGTTCCAGTTTTTTTAAGTTTCAAGATCAGATGAAATTATTTAAGAATTACTGGTGAGGGGGAAAAAAAAGAATTACTGGTGAGACCCTTAAAACAATCAGTCGTTGACATAAAGATTTCTTTTGGTGCTCAGTTCCTTATCTCTTCACTCTTCTGCTGAGAGAGAATTTTATCTACGAATACCTTAAGTCCACGTAAGAGTTGGGTGCAATGGACAACCTTCTACATGCTGAGATGTCAAGGTCACAAATAAGCCTTTCTTATAACCTTCCAAATAACCACAAGTCTATCCCGAACAACGACTAAACATTTGCCACCACCTTTCTTCTTTGGATTAAGGCCAGATAAACTGTTGAAGCTCACACATTTCTGGGTTGAAATTCTCATTTAAAATTTAACATTATATAGTACTTGTCTTCTTTACACCTCATGTGAACGAGCCTATCAAGGAGAACAACTGTTAAAGAAGGGGAGGAGACAGAAGGGTGGTAGGGCAAAGCTTTTTCTATGGAGAGATATCCAGTTTCAAGGACCAGGGAAGCTAAAACCAAGTTTCAGTTCTTCACTATCTGTCACAGTCAGGTTTTTGTAATGGTCATAATTCTGATGACCTCTTGTAAATATAAATTTATGCATCCCAAAATGTCATTAAAACACATATTATACCACATATTTGTATCGTTCGAATCTTGAGTATAGAATAAAAGGCATTCACTTTTATAGTATGCTGGTATATTTATCCATCTTAGAATTCTGGTACATTAACCATCTGTAGATGATGGTTCAGAGATCTAGGTAGACCAACCCAACTGCATAATCCCAAGTTCTATTCTTGTGAAAACCTCAGATGATTACACAGCACTTATCTCACATTGGCAGAAGAATAGGACCAGCCAAAACATATACAAGGTTAAATATGGATGAATCTCATCTCTAAAAAGTCTGTGCATATATATGTATGTGTGTTTCTGAGGGTACGTGTGAACCACTGTGCATGCTTCTTTGCCCATGTGCTGTAAATACAATAGACTCTCCTACTGAATACCCCTCCCTTCAGTGGCAGCGATAGGTTAGGCATGTGTGACATTGACCACTGTTGATGTGAGGTGTCATCAGATAAGTGCAGGCTTATCTAGCCCTGAGATCAACAGAAGGAAACACTGTCCAGTCTTACACCATACTTAAAGTTGTTGTTGTTCGAGCCCATTGTTGAAGATCCTGCGTCAGTTCTTCTCTTTGAGGATGTTCCTGTTTTTCATTGACATCATACTTGACCAAGGATGATGCCCAATTCCAGGCTCTGGTCGCTCTCAGCAGCATATACAAAGAAGATGAGACCGAGTTCTGCCATATCTGCTCCAATGGAATTTTTTTGGCTGTAGTTCTTCCAAGATAGATTTGTTTGTTATTTTGGCAGTTCGTGGCATATTTGATATTTTCCCACAAAAACCATAATTCAAAGGCATCAATTCTTGCCCCAATGTTCCTTATTTATTCTCCAGCTTCATATATGGAGTGATTGAATACACACGGCTCCCGTCCTCAGTGTGACATTTTTCCTTCTTAATATTTTAAAGAGGGACTTTGAAGAAATTTTCCCAATCATCTGTCATTTGATTTTTTCTTTCTTTCTTTAAAAATGTTTTTATTAGTTAAGGGGAGGTTTATGTTTCAGACCATTATCTTTGTATTCAACAACTTAAACTATTTATCAAATTTCTGAATAGTTTCAATGTCCCATCCACCATATTAAAATTGACTCTATTTTGAAGTGACAGTTCTTCCCTAATCCTACTGTGAGTGTTTTCCAAACGGTGGGCCATGTCTCTGGCATTCTGTCAAAAGCTGTTCTGCGGCTATTCTGCAGGGTGTCGTGGCTACTCCTTCAGAAGTGGACTATCTCTCCCTTCCTCACAGTCTTTATTAATCTGGACTTTTTGCACTGACGTTTGTCCCCCACAGGTGGCCCTGCTGGTATTGAAAATACCGATGGCATAGTTTTCAGATTCATAGTAATGCACACGTCACCGCAGTTTGACAAATTGAGAGACTCATGGTTGTCAGGACCACCATGATGCTGTAAATGGTCTTTCCCTTGGGATTCTTAATCATTTGAGTCCTCATTATTTACTGCCAAGGCTCATCACAAGATAATGATTTCTGAGTTCTTGTTCCTATGTCTCATTATGGAGGGAAAGGATGATTATCACAGGCCAAGCAGGACCACCTGTGGCAAAGCCCTAACCGTGCAGCATAAAGGGATCAAATCGCCACTTCTGCAAAGAGGATCCACCCCCCTTGCGGGTGCAGAATAGGCTCTGGCTGGAGAGGAGCTGCCTGTCAAAAGGGCTCTGACAGGCCACAGGGTGTGTCTGCAACCCATTGCTCCTGTTCTGAGTGCTAATGGAAACCAATAGGGCAAATTTTGCCCTTCTGTCAAATTCATTCAGAATTATAAATTATACTTAACCAGTTTCTCCTGTGGGTTTAGTTTTAGTTAGTCTCTTGGCTGGGATAATAAAGAATAGGAGTCCTATAAGTAAGGCAACCGTTGAATCAGTAGCAAAATTTGGATACCTGGAGAAGAAAAAAATGAATGCATTAAAAAGAAGCATAAAGAGTTCATATGAATGTAGCATCAATGTAGTATGTTGCTAATACAGTGGGACTCCAGATCTCAACACTAATCCATTCTAGAAGGAGTGTCGAGATGTGAAGTAGTCGAGTTCTGAATCAATTTTTCCCATAAGAGATACATCAAAATGGATTAGTCCATTCTTGACCAACAAGTTTTTACCCTAACTTTGCCTTTTTATACAAAACATGACACAGAAATTTCAAAGTAACTAAGTCCAGAGTTAAATAATACAATTTAAATAAGAAACAACATTTAAAAGGTTATTAACAACCACAGAACGGCCCATACCTTGAGATTGACAAAGATCTGGATCTGTGGACAGGGACGTGGGGAGGAGGTATATATGGAGAGAGAGTCATTGTTTGGAAGGGGAATCCCCTTCCATAAAATCAACTGATAACTGCTTTTCGGGAGTTTTTTTTACCTTCTTTGCCTTTTTTTTTTCACTACGACCTGGCTGGCTTTCTCTAAAAAACCAAAAGCCTGTCTAATGTGGTCTGCTGTTGACGTTCCCTTACATTATCATCCACATATCGATAACACAATAACAACAATATCAACAGCAATATCGCTATCATAAACAATATCGATAACCAGTTCCTTATCATGATGCTTCTTTTCAAAAAACTCTTTCTTAGGACCCATTTTAAAAAATTTAAAACAGTAAAAAAAGCCACAAAAACTAAGAAAATTGTATCAAAACGCTTGGAACACAACCGCAAAAGGTTTAAACAACGTGTACTAACAATGCCAACTTATTCCAAGTGACTGAAACATGAACTGCTTTTGTTTACAAGAGTCATGTGTGTCAGGTCGGTTGCGATGTTGTGTTTGAGCTCAGATGGAAAATTTTCTCGACATTTCGCATCAAAATCTGATTATGTTGAGTACTGATGCGGCCGAGTACCAGGGTTCTAGTGTACATAAGTAGTTGTAGAGGGATAGCTCATTTGCTTTGGAAACCTTCTCTAAAATCTACTGATTTCCACCAAAATTCCAAATTGAAAATCTCAGAATTACGTCTTTGTACATTTCTCCTTATTTTCAATATCACATATACACATGCTGCTACACTAGGTCAACTTGGCAAACTTCCCTTTGGGGTAATCTTATTGATCTATTACAGCCCCCTTTAAGTCAATTGCTTTTTAAACATTAAATTCGTAGAGTTGGGGATGGAGAAATTACTAGACAAGCCAAAGCCCTAGGTACTTGATGTGTAACACCCTCCTGTCTATGGAATCGTGGCTGGGCGTTTCTACAGACTCTGCAGTGTTTCTTGAAAACATTCTGAAATGAATGTTACAGACTCTGAAAGTTCTTGAAAACTCTTGCATAAGTTGTCAAAAAGAATTGATCTGTTATCTTAAATGCAACACCTGTCCCTGCAGTGACAGGCCTGCCACCATGTCATACAAATGATATCAGCCCGTTTCCATCTTTACACCCTATGCAACTCAATCAAGAATGTTAATTGCCGGAATAGTTTGGAAATGTTCCTTAGTGATCACTGAATAAATTAGGAGTGATTCTGGAACAGATGGGATCTGAGAACCAGCAGACCATTCTAGCAAAGAAAACAAATTCCCAGAATCCTCAAGGCTAGCATGCACCTGGAGAGAAGATGTAAGTGAAATGGGCAAACATGATTATTGCCGCATCTTAAAAGTCAGTGATCTTAACTAAGGCATCTTTCCAGCATGCAATGAAACGTGCACCACCCTGAAGATTCCTTCCTCATCGTCGGGCAATGTGTACACACTGCAGAAGCTCTGTGTTCTCGTCATTCACGCGAAAACTCTTAATAATCAAAGAAATACATTGGATTTCTCAGTCTGACCATTTTTAAAGCAGTCTCACTTTCTTAAAGGTAGAATCATTTTCTTGGCTAAGTAAAAAAGCTACTTTGCCACCCTTTATTCTATGAGCCTGACCATTATTGATACTTTTACTGTTACTTATTTCCTGGTTTTTACATCTAATTTTAGATTGGATGTTTTTCCCAGATTTGGTCCGGCATCATGTAACCTGATTTGTTTTATATGAAAAGACATATTGAATTCAGTCCAGGTTTAAGCAGATGGACTGAAAACATTAGGTGGTAGCTATAAATCTTGATACTTCATTCTAGTTCTGGAAATTCTGCACACATAAATCTCTACACAACAAATATATGTTACAGAATATATACCTTAAATAAAATCAAGTTGTCTATATGGAAATAATTTATTTCCTGAATACTTCCTAAATTATTTATTATTATTTGTTTATTATCACATAAACTATATGGATATCTAAGTAACACAAGATATTAACCTTATCCAAATTTTATTTACTTTGGGCTTGCAAATTCCATTTCTATTTTAAATTAGATCCTCTGTTCCTTTTCCTGTTTTTTCCTCAGAATTATAAGTAACATGAGCGCCTGCCCATAGCAAGATAACACTGTTTTCCTACTACAAACAAAATATCTCTTGAATCAAATGTCCATCCCATATGGAACAGAAATTAGAAACTGATTATATTGAATTGCCTACTGGGGATTCCCTTGGTTTTATTAAATTATCGTCTGATGTATTTTAGTTCTTATCTGCTGGTCCTTAAAAAACCGCTCTTCTTAGCTTACTTACCTAAGTGGTAGGACTGCAATGGGGGGGGGAAAGGAGGCATTATTTTTATGTTGGTGTAACTCATAGTAAAGAGCCCTGGTGGTGCTGTCAGCTTGAACTGCAAGGCCAGTGGTTCAAACCCACCAGCTACTCCGTGGGAGAAAGATGAGTCTGTCTGCTACTGTAACGGTAGCCTCAGAAACCCTGTGCAAGGCTGTTATCAGCTACAATCAATTTGATGGCAGTGGATAAGGTCTTATTACAAAATTACAAAGCACGAGTCAAACTGCTGAACCACTCTTGATCTGACAAATTGGCTGATGCCTTGTGTAAAGACCTCACAAAATAAAAAGCTTTGCTGCATCTAAAGAGGCAAACAGTTTGGAAAACAGGGTGATCCTTCAAAACATATCATCATATTGCATTGCTTGACTTGTGTGGATGCAAAGAACCTGGCCTCAGTCTTTTTATCTTTATAAAACATGTTGGCAATGTCTCTAAGACCAGAAGGTTCTGATTCCGGAAGGGAGAAATTCCTTCATTCCAAGTGGGCAGAGTACAATTTTGGTTTCTGCCTAAAAATACATGAGTTTTTGCTGGGGGTGTGAGGCAGGAAGCCCAAACCAAAAATCTGTTGGATTTAGGAATCAGAATACTTCACACGAACACAGATTTGGAACACAAATTTCAAAACCAGATTATTTATGTTACGATGTAGGATGGCTCTTATTTTAGAAATGTATGGCACAGTCTTCCCCCTCGCTTGACATGACTCAGCTATGACTTCTGCTATATATGATACTGAGAGGAAAAATTAACTCTGACCCAGCTCCTAACATTGGATTTTAAAAATCAATCATATTACCTACCCAGTACTTCTTTATCTCTAAAATGCAGGCTGGGCTGAATCTGTAGTGAACTAGTACAAAAAGGTACACATGGAGAGAAAAAGACTGAGCAAATAGTCCTCAGCAGAAATCAAAAGATCAGGTTGCCAAAAATCACTGAATAATATCATATTACGAAGAATTACTGAATGGGAAATGCTTTGTATAATAAGTGTCATACTTTTTGAAGCAGGTGGATTGATAGAATTTTTAAAAAATCATTTTATTGGGTGCTCGTACAACGCTTATCACAAACCATACATATATCCATTGTGTCAAGCACATTTGTACATTTGTTGCCATCATCATTCTCAAAACACTTGCTTTCTACTTGAACCCTTGGTATCAGCTCCTCATTTTCCCCTTCCCTCCCCATCCCCTATCCCTCATGAACCCTTGATAATTTATAAATTATTATTATTTTATATCTTACACTGTCCGATGTCTCCCTTCACCCACTTTTCTGTTGTCCATCCCCCAGAGAGGAGGTTATATGTAGATCCTTGTAATTGGTTCCTCCTTTCTACCCCACCTTCGCTCCACCCTCCCGGTATCGCCACTCTCACAGCTGGTCCTGAGGGTTTCATCTGTCCTGGATTCCCTGTGTTTCCAATTCCTATCTGTACCAGTGTACATCCTCTGGTCTCAAATGATTTGTAAGGTTGAAATTGGATCACGATAGTAGGGGGGAGGAAGCATTTAAGAACTAGAGGAAATTTGTATGTTTTATCATTGCTACACTGCACCCTGACTGGCTTGGCTCTTCCCCCACAACCCTTCTGTAAGGGGATGTCCAGTTGCCAACAGATGGGCTTTGGGTCCCCACTCTGCACTCCCCCTCACTCACAATGATATGATTTTTTTTCCTTGATGCCTGATAGCTGATCTCTTTGACATCTCGTGATCACACAGGCTGATATGCTTCTTCCATGTGGGCTTTGTTGCTTCTGAGCTAGATGGCTGCTTGTCTACCTTTAAGCCTTTAAGACCCCAGACGCTATAGCCTTTGATAGCCAGGCACCATCAGCTTTCTTCACCACATTTGCCCATGCACCCATCTGTCCTCAGATGGCTTGATAGAATATAGAAATGACCTTTTGAGGATTTTGTTAGACTACCAGCTAGGTGGCAACACCTTTCAATGCTGAGGCAGGAGGCTAAAAATATTCAAAATCAGCATCAGACATATGGTGCTATTTTTTCCATAGCCAGCATTCAAGGATGGAAATAGAAGGTGGTACCACTCATTATTATCCCTAGCAAAATTTATGCTTCCTATCTCAGGAATCTTAAGCTCAGCTGGTCCAGAAGTTCTTAGTTTCAAAGGAGACGTATAATCATTTCATTAAGTATGAAGCTAAGACTTTAGGCTTCTCATGTCTTTAAAGTCACTTTTGGCTTCTTATGTCACTAAAGCATTGTTTCTCAATCTTCCTAATACCGTGATCCTTTAATAGAGTTCCTCATGTTGTGGTGACCCCCCCAACCATAAAATTATTTTCATTGCTACTTCATAACTGTAATTTTGCTGCTGTTATGAATCAGGTGACCCCTGTGAAAGGGTCATTTGACCCCCAAAGGGGTCATGACCCACAGGTTGAGAGAAACTGCTCTAAAGCAATGAACAAAGAAGGAAGTTACTGGATTAGTTGGTGTGATTGATCCTGATTACCAAGAAGAAATTAGACTGCTTTAACACAAAGATGATAGGGCAAAGTATGTCTGAATACAGGAAATTTTCAGGATATCGCTTAATACTTTTATGCCCTATGATCAGTGGAAAGCTGCAACCCAATTCATGAAGGACTATGAATAACTTAGACCCTGTAGGAATGAAGATTTGGGTCACCCCACCAGGAAAGTACCAGAGTCAGCTTAGAACTTGAGTCAAACATTTTGTTTAAGAACTATATTGTACCAAATGACCAAGCTCTCCTAGGGGACCATGGTCCTAAGCATTCTAAGCAAACCAGCCCCTTGTGATGTTAGGTTATGTCTAGGAAGTGTCTGAAATTGTGCCTCCTATGGGCTTTAATTTATATATGGATATATGGGACACACATAAACATGTATGTACATGTGACTAGACATACACCTATTTATGCACCTATATACACACATTTTCATATGGATCTTCTTATATATCTACATCTTACATACTTCCTATACATATTTTAGTCATTATTATCATTGCAAAATTCTCTATAGGTGAGGCCTTCACAAAGTTCATGGGGAAAATTCCATTAGCTTTTCCTTTCATTTTTCCACAAACCTTCTCGAGGCCCCCTTTATTATTGTTTGGGAAAATTGCCCCTTAATCTTGTGTCCTTCTTTCTGTCATCATTTCCTTTGGTCAAGTTGTGCTGACTGTGCCCTTCAGTGGCTGTTGCCTTTCCAATTACCAATCTGACACAGGCCCGCTCTCTGGAACGTGGTTTCCCCCTCCACCCCTATTCCGGGGTAACCACCCAGAAACGCTACTTTATGTATACATGCCTAGTCTTGTCTTTTTAGAATAGGGAGATCATATCATATTTGTCCTTTTATTATTGGGCCCTTTTTCTCAACATGATAATGTTTTCCAAATTCACCCACATTATAAAATACATGGAGAACTCATCACTATTCATGATAGCTGCATAGTATTCCATTGTGGGCACATACTGCCACAATTTTTTCATCCATTCACATAGTGATCCACACTTTGGTTTCTTCCATCTTTTGCTAATGTGTGTGATATTGTGATGTACATGCGTGTGAATCTAAGTCCCTGATATTTAGTCACAGCACAGTGTAACTATGGCCATTCTGTTTGTGGATATATATATATATGAATTGAAATTTCTTTTCAAGATAATGGAAGACATGTTTCATAAAATATCTCAGATCCACTTGGGAAGCAGCTAACAGCAAGGACAGGGCAGACAAACAGAACACGTAGCACTTACTCTGAGAAAAGCACAGACCAACCAGGAGCAAACCCAGGATCTCGGCTAAACCACAGCACAGCCATGAGAACAAACAGGACCAGGGTCACAATTTCTTGATACCTGTGGAAAAATTCCAGTATATTCATTTCTTATTTTCTTAGGATATTTGTAAAGCCTGCCCAAGCTACAAAAAAAAAAATGATTTTTTTCCCCAAGCTATGTTATTTAAATTTTTTTACAAAATAACCTCATCACCTTCAAAATACTCTCCATTGCACTTAGTACATTTGTCAAACCTGTGATTCCGTTCTTGGAAAGCGTTTTCAAACTCGTTTGTCTGGATGGCTGACAGCACCTCCCTCATTTTTTTCCTTCACATCTTCTACTTCATCAAATCGCTTTCTGACATGCCCCTCTTCATTTGCAGAAACATAAAGAAGTCACATGGAGTGAGTTCAGGTGAGTATGGTGCGTGGGGCATGCTGTTGGTTTGTTGGGTTTGTTTTTATTTTGCCAAAAACTGGCACACTGGGATGGTTGCGTGAGGAGGTGCATTGCTGCAGTGGCAAAACCAGTCCCGTCTGCCACAAATCAGGCCTTTTTTTGTCTCACGTTGTTACACAATCTTTTCAGAACCTCTAATTCAGTGGTTCTCAATCTGTGAGTCACAAACACTTTGGGGGCCGAACGACCATTTTACAAGGGTCCCCTGATTCATGACAGCATCAGAATTATCGTTATGAAGTAGCAACGAAAATAATGTTATGGTTGGGGAGTCACCACAATATGAAGAACTATATTAAAGGGTCATGGCATTAGGAAGGCTGAGAACCACTGCTCTAAATAGAAAACTTGATTAACAGTATTACCTGGTGGAATGAACTCCAAATGCACTATCCCCCTCACATAAAACAAACAAACAAACAAACAAAACAAACGGGCATCGGTTTTATTTGGGTGCCCCTCGTATTTCGAGGAATCATGAGTAGATCTCTGACTACTGTAAAACGGAGAATTCAATAGTTGGAGACTAGCAGTGCTTCTAGAAAAGGCCTTATTCTACTGGGGTCCCTCAGCATCGTGTCCGTCTTCGTGTTAGACAGCAGCAGGTAGTTTGTCATGTCAAATTGTGTTAACAAAAGTTAGCACATTTGGGGTGCCTATAAGTGTGATCAAAGCAATATGAATAATTATGTGCTAATTTGCATTTAAGCCATCCCTTGGAGTATAAGCACATCGGTGTAGGTGCATGTCTGTGTCTTACCTTAATGGCCCCAGTTTTTTGTATTCCTGGTAAATCACTTCGGCACATGCTTTTTCTTTGGCTGTTCTGGTCTTGCCACATTTTAACATCTCCTTCACACTAAGAGAGAATAATCAAGCCTGTTAAGCAAAGTCCTCTTTTAGCACGACTTTTCTTCATGGACGATGTTTCTGTGCAAGTTTCATAAAACACAAATCTCTCGGAGAACAATAGCAATCTATACTTTCCGCTTCTATGGCTACCGCCTTGGAATGTGCTTCTTCCTTGCTCTGTTTGCTCACTGTTCAAGGCTCTATGTTTGCTCCCTATTTTCTATAACACCACACACGAATCTCTTCATTGTCCATATCCTTTTGTCCCACTGGAATTTTTTTTCATGGACCGTTCACCTCAGATTTCATACTTTATTATACACTGGGTTGATGGTCACTTGTCACCTGTGTTTCGGTGTTATCCCACCAGTTGGTAAATTACATGAGGAAAGCAGCAGTGTTACAGAGGTTTCTTCGGCCCGCTATCTACAGCACCAGCAGATGGGTGAATAGTTTGTTGCCTGGTTGATTCATTAGTATCTTTGGCACTGATGGGTGGCAGATCTCTCACTCCCCACACAACACACTACACTATAGTTACACACTAGGGCAGGAGGTCACACACACTGATCATGAACAAAGTCCGGACTAGGCCAATTCTCAGAAGCAAAACTGACACTATTACATTTTTTCCTTAGGTTCCTCAACCCCACATATCCTACTTGAACTTACCAGATAATTTTTCAGGTTATTTCCAACAATAACTATCAGTATTTGCTTTTTATTTTACCTGAATTTCCACCTATAGGCCAAGGTCTTCAAAACATTTTGGTGTCTGTGAGATATTACTCTATCTAGATTAATAAATACCGTAAGTGAATCTTCCAGGGGAAGAAATAATTGGGAAAGTTTCTATGGAGTAACTTATGGAATGTCTATGTATAGCTCAATTTCAATATATGTTATATTCTGGTATCAAATTGATTCTTCTATAAAACTGCTCTTAAAAATACATGGATAGTTTGAGAGCGTGGTCAAAGGGTAGCTCTCATGCAAAGATGTATTATATGTATTTTTTGCCCTGTAATTCTGCTATTCAAACTTGTTTTGTAGGTTGTACTCTCCTTAAACTATTCATTTTGCACACTGCATGAGCCACTCACACACACATCAGTCATTGAAAAGAATTAGATGACTGCTTTTGCGTTTCCCATTTCTTCTCTTGGGATGATTATTTATGAATCCAGAGCCGTACTTCACTCACACTTCAAAATATTGAAGACCTTGGATTTGATGGCAGAAAAAGAGAAATGAGGCAAGATTCCCTTTCTATAATCTCAATTAAAAGGACTACTGCTGATCTGGAAATTTACCAACGTCACAACAGAAATACCAATAGTATCAGAACCTGTAACTAACAGAGCATCGTTCACAAAAGTGGTAAGACTCTCCTTGCAATCTCTTTTCTCCCCTGCTCAACTGCAGATGTACCTTGTCACTCTGCTTGGGGACAATAAACAGTTAAGTCAAAACCAAATTGGCTTTGCTGCAAATGAAGGTTAATGCCTTCACAAAGGAGCTGATGAAGCATATGACAATACATCAACCTCCTCATTTAAATAAACTCGGTGGCACTGATAGATGAGCTTCTCTTCCCAAGTATGCTGGGGTCATTTATAAGGGGTGAGTTAACTGTGCTAACAGCCAACTCACTAATCAGAATGTAAGAGTGCCTGCCAAGGGAGGGGCTGCTTATTTCTGCTGGTCAATTTGAATGCTCTGGAGGTGAACACCCTGGCCGACTGAAAGACCACTGAAAAAATTAGCTGAAGCATGAGGGTGTGCCGTGTCTAACTAATAGTGAACAGCCAGGGAACTGTTTAAATATGCCATTGATCATGATTTATGGGCTTGGCCTAATGTATGCACTTCATGGGATTTTTTTTTCACTAATAGAGATCATATTTGAATACATGGGTCCTTTATCTTCATAATTTCTCCTTCTTAAGTGGTTGCATGCATAGTGCATAAGGCCATCCTACACAGCACTCAAGAGGAGCCAGCAGGGGACTTGGGACAGGATACTTTCTCCCTGGACTGGGGTTTCCTCTCTCCTTGCATCCCCTGTGCAATCAAATAGGCCCCTGAATGTTTGGATTCCCAGGGAAGGACACTTAGTATGCAGCTGGCCTCGCCCTACTGATGCCCACCTGCTGAAGTCAGGGGCACTCCACACATTGGCTTCAGCAGGAGGACTGCCACATGCTGGTCCCACAATCTGGACAATGTTTTTTTAAGCATCACCACCATCTATCTCCCCACTACTAGCAGAATTGAATGCAGTCTCGAGAAAAAAAATCAGAAGAGACATTGAGCAGGCAGAATGTCAACCCTTCTATACCCAGGCTTAGGAAATGTGGCCACAGGTCCTGGAACCAACTAACCACACAAAATGTTTCATTTTTCAAAGGATGTGCTAATAGCTGACTGCAGTCTCACTGATTGTTTGAATCGGAACTCCTTGCAATGGTGGAAATAACAATCTTGTCAAAATGAACTTGAATTGTCCACTTTGCTTTGTTGTCAGAGAAACAAAAAGCCTCAAGGTTTGACACAGAGCTGTTCTTTGTTTTTGGAAGACTGCCATTTGAACTAAAAAATGGATTGCTAAGACTTAGGTTTTGCTGATGAGGCCAGTGTGATTTTAAATGCTGACTCTCACCTAATCCTGGATCTCTTCGGTGCTCAAGAACCACCAGCCAATGTCATATTTTGGAATTCTCCTTAAGTTCTGTATGTTGGACATTACATTTGCATCATTATTTGTCATTAATCAGAACGACACCTTGGAAGTGACCTTGATTAGGTTGACAAAGCCTGATTAGGTTTTGTCACTTCACAAATGTAGACGTTGAGACAGAGATTGGGCCAGACCTTGCACTAGATCATATACCTGGTCTTTGGGAGCCACAACTTGAACCCTGGTCTCCCAATTCTTAACCCCTCCTCTTTTCACAGAGAGCTCTCTCTAATCTGTATTTGTTTTTGTTTTATCAACTCAACCTATCAGATTTGGTGCTGGCACCAAGCAGGAAGTCCTGCATGCTATCACTGAAAGTAATTCAGTCAATTGAGAAAAAGCTCTGTGTTAACTTGAATGGAAAGGCAAAACTTTCAAAATTGTCACTTGAACAAATGGGCCTGGATCTTCATTATAACCTGTTTCTCATGTTCATATTACCTATTTCTTTAGCATTCATAGGAGCACCATATGTACCACAGTGAGATTCTAGCTTATCCTTAATACATATCCTTTGTGGTGTGTGTTGGTTTTGTAGGTGAGAGTAATGCATAATTACGGTGTGCCTAGTAGGATCCCCGCATAAGGTGTTGAGAGATTGACACCTAAAATTCCAAACCAGTGGCCATCTAGTCTCTTCCAACTCCTGCAGACTCCATGTGTGTCAGCACAGTAGAACTGTGTTCTGAGTGTTTTCAGTGGCTGATTTCTTAGTAGTAGGTTTCCAGGCCTTTCCTACTAGGTTTCTTTGGGTAGCCTCCAACCTCCAACGTTTCCATTAGCAGCTAAGCGAATTGGTCAGGTGAACATATAACATTTCCTTACTTGAGTCCCAAGAAGAGCCACTGAAGCCATATCCAGGACAAGAGGAGAATGATGAGAGCAGCTGGGAAGGAAAGCATAAACCAGGACCCAAAGTTGATGCAGCGGCAGTCAGGATAGCGCCTGGGGGAAACACAGACAAGCATTCATGGAAGGAGTGACAATGGCAAGCCGTTGCAATGGTACGAGAGGCTGCTGGGTGATGTCCTTCCTGTGCTGCCAGTCTTGGAGGGCTTTGTGAGATGTGCTCATCCCTTAGCGTCACACTGTCGGTCGTGTCTTGACTCGGTAACGGCATGTTTCTTGCTGCATTCCACAAAGACAAAAGAGGCCATATTTTGACTTTGGTTCACTTTATTCACTCTACGTGGAACTGCTTGGTAAAAAGAAAACAAAACAAACAAATAGCCTAGCATTACACCTGAGCTTCACTAAAAGTACAAGAAATGGATGTGCATGAAGGTGTGTGTTTTGCTATTATTACCTGAAACTGCAGTAAAGGGGTGAGGTAAAGTGTCAAGATGATTTAGAAACAGATGAAAATGAACTTAACTGGATGAAGGACCCTTCCCATTTCATACTGGAAGCTGGCATCCCGGCACCTATGCAGCGCTAATCCAGCCCCATATTGTCTGCCATGACTATTGTCCCCTCTGCTCCTTCCTATCATAACAATTGCAACCATCTGTGCAAAACTATGCTGCCCCGTTCCTCTTAGAACTGGACAATTGATTGAGATTTAGTCAGCAGAGATAAGGGTGGAGTAATAAAAACAATATAATCATATGGCCAACATGAATTCTCCTATCTTCCTCTTAATTACTTTCAGCTTTTTGTCTTACTATATTAACAAAACAAAAATGGAAGAACGTCATCCCAGGGACAAGGGAACAACAAGTGATCCAAAATCAATGGCAAAGGAAGGTGTAGGAGACCTGGTAGGACTTAATCAAGGGCAATGTAACCAAAAGGAATTACCGAAACCCAAATGAAGGCTGAGCATGATAGTGGGACAAGAGGGAAGTAAAAGGAAATAGAGGAAAGAACTAAGAGGCAAAGAGCATTTAAAGAGGTCTAAATACAGGAATGTACATATGTAAATATATTTATATGACAATAGGGAAATAGGTCTATGTGCATATATTCATAGGTTTAGTATTAAGGTAGCAGGTGGACATTGGGCCTCTACTCAAATACTCCCTTAATGCAAGAACACTTTGTTCTATTAAACTGGTATTCCAGGATGCTCACCTTCCCGACAGCTCACTGAAGACAAAGCAGGTGCATAAGCAAATGAAGAGATAAGCTAATCAGGGTGCAGTATAGCAACGATGAAACATACAAATTTCCTCTAGTTCTTTAATGCTTCCTCCCCCACTATCATAACCCCAATTCTACCTTACAAAGCCGGCTAGACCAGAGCATGTACATGGGTACAGGAAAGAGCTGGAAACACAGGGAATCCAGGACAGATAAACCCCTCAGGACCAATAATGAGAGTAGCAATACCAGGAGGGGAAGAGGAAGTTGGGGTTTGGGGGACAGGGAATCAACCACAATGATCTACATATAACTACCTCCCAGGGGGATGGACAACAGAAAAGTAGATAAAGGGAGACATTGGTCAGTGCAAGATATGAAAAATAATAATAATTTATAAATTATCAAGGGCGCATGAGGGAGGGAGTGAGGACGGGGGAGGGAGGAAAAATTGAGGAGATGATATGAAGGGCTCAAGTAGAAAGAAAATGTTTTGAAAATGGTGATGGCAACATATGTACAAATGTGCTTGACACAATGAATGGATGTATGGATTGTGATAAGAACCGAATGAGCCTCCGACAAAATGATTTTTGATAGAGGTGGTAGCATTCCAATGCTTGCTTAAATCTCACTTTGCGTTTTGTGACTTCAAATTGAGCACATAGATAAGTGGAACATTTCATGCTGGATACATGCATTGACAGAAGTTAGATATACTGATTTGAGAGTAACCCTTATTCTACTTTAGGATGGTTTCTAAGTGATGACTATGTATTGAATTATGTACCCGAAATATATTTTGAAGTCCTAAGTCCTGCCTTGGTGAACGTGACCTTCTTGGGAGAAATAAGGCCTATCTTTGAAGTTATTACAAGTTAAGGCATACAAAAGTACTGTGGGTCTTAGTCCTAATTCTTTGTGAATGGTGTCTTGTAAAAGTGAGGGAATATATAGAGGAAGAGGGAAAGAAGGAAGGAGAAAGAGGGGAGAGGGGTGAGGGGAGGAGAGAGAGAGATGCCGCATGAAGAAGCAGCAAGAGAACACCCAGGCTTATCCAGCCTCAAAGGCAGAGCACGGACATAGAGAAGTTCCTCCCACACAGTCTTCAGGAGGACTCAACCTGGTAAATGCCTGGATTTGGATTTCTAATATCCAGCATGTTAAAAAACTTAATTTCCATTCTTTAAAATCACCCATTTGGGAGTGTTCTGTTGTGGCACCATTAGGAAACAAAGACTGTGGGTAAAACAAAAGACTTTTTATTTTTTTTAAGAAAATAATAATAGGTTTTCAAAACTCTAAATATCCAAAGTTTTCTACAAATTTGTTGGGACTTATACAAATGTTCTGATCTTCCTGAGACCTCCAGTGCTCATTAACAACTGGAGAATAATTTTTAGCTCCTTTGAAGAGATTCAAAGCTTAGCATACATACTGATGTAATTAGAAAGTGACAATAGATAGATAAATAAGAAATGCTAGGAAATAAATAGCATTGGATGAGTGGAAAAGTGCTGTATCTTGTCCAAGAGCCTCTACTGTGGGGCTTGCTGCACTTTTAAATAAAATATTGTCATGAGTTGGGAAAGAACAAGGAAAAAGTCTTAAGCATCGTTCTCCTCAATTAGGTAGCCTCAGCACACCAGGGGATCTGTTATTCGGCTCACCCTAAAGACATGTAGAAATGCTGCTCATATTGCCCCCCAATCCACTTTCATTTCCTACCATCTGTGGCTCCTACCTTGACATCAGGCTCGCAGTTCTCTCTGCCCGCTGGAGAGAAGCCGGTAAGCTTTGTTTGGCTCAAGAGTGACTCTTCAGATTTTTTTTTGTTTTTGCCTAGAGGGACAGTTCCTTTAGAAAACTAAAAATTTGCAAAAGCTAGACTATGGTATTTATTTCTCTTTCCTTCAGAAGTATTACAGAATGGTAACTCAATGGAGGGTGAAGTAGCATGGGTCACAGTCAGACGACTAAGGCTGATCACATGGAATAAATCACGGCAATAATGCCATATTCTCAGGGAGTAGTTCTACTTCTACGTTCCCTTTTCCTGCGTGGTATAAATGGCTAACACACCCCAAGGCTGGTCCCAATGATCAGCACACCCAAAGTTCCAATCTACCCATAAGCACCTCAAAGAAAAATTTGGTGGCCTGCTTCCAAAAACGCAATGGAGCACAGTTCTACTTTGACAAAGATGAGGTCACCATGAGTCAGAGTCCCCTCAAAGGCAATTGGAACATAATGTACAAATGAAATGACTGCAAATGTCTGTTTAAAGCAAAGGCAGAGTTCATCCATCATGGACTGTGGGGGGGTGGCACATTTAGCGCTAGTGAATACCATATAGACTCAAGTATAAGCCGACCCGAATATCAGCCAAGGCACTTAATTTTACACATAAAAACTGCATTAAAAATGTGCTGAAAAAACTCGGCTTATACATTGGTATATACAGTACTTTTCTTTCCCCAACAATATGCCTTGGCTTTCAATCATGTCCTGAAACTTCTAGATGTTGGGGGTTAGTGGTGAATGAGGTGGACATGGTCCAGCTGCCGATGAAGTTTACATTGAAAAATAAATGGATGGATCAGCATACAAAAATAGTTTTAAATGTAGTGAAATTTTACTATGGGGAGGGATACATTTTGCACTGTGGTCAGGGCAGGTGATATTTCAGATGACAGCTCAATGGCAAGAAGGAACCAATCGTGTGCAACACTGGAGCACAGCATCCTAGCTGGAGGGAAGAGTAAGTACAAAGGCCTCCAGGAACAAGTGAATCTGGCAGGCTGACGAATCAGACAGAAGGAGAGTGTGGCTATGGATAGTGAGCTAAGGCTACAATGATATGAAATAAACATGGAGGAAGTAGGCAAGGGGGATGGTGCCAGATCCTATATAATCTTGTAGTAATGATACTAATCTAATAGTAATTCTATTGTAATGAAATAAGAAGTAATTAAAACCTAAGAAGTAAGTAAATGGAATGATGAAATGTATGTTGCACATGGAACACGTGGGCTGCTTGGGAGATTGTCCGAATTGAAGTAAGAGGAGTGGAAGCCGAGGTGGGATAGGCAGAGCTGTACAAGATCCCACAGGATTCTCGCACCTTGCAGCACCTCTCTCTTCCACTTTGGCTCGAACCTATAAACATGATTGCACAGCCTCCAGGGACAGGCAGAAGTTAAGGAATTTTTCAAAGCAATAAGAATTTCTATACTTTGGCTTTTTGTTAGTCAATCAAAAGATATGTCATTCTGTGTGGGCCTGACATAATTGGGCAAATCCTGAAAAGAGAGTTTAGCTGCCGTGAATGAGAGGAGTCAGGTAGCAAATACCCAAGAGCCCTTGTAAGGAGATTAATTGAATCGTGCCTCTCAAAACATGTATGTGTCGAAACCCTAATTCCTATACTTATAAATATGATCCTGTTTGGAAAAGGGGATTGTTTTGTTGCTCATCAAGTCATGTCAGTGAAAGATGAGCCCTAAACCCAATCACCTCTGAGTTCCGAGAAGACCAGAATGCAGGTAAATCCACAAGACTAAGAATGCCAAGTACTGGGGGATCTACTGGAGGCCGAAATAAACCAAAAAGCACCTCTCCCTGTAACCACACCCTGAATTTGGATTTCTAGTTTATGAAAAAGATACAGTTCTCCTCTTTTAAGTCACACACATCTGGATAGAAGAGGTTTCATATTTCTGTCTTAGCAGTCTACCAAACAGCAGACGGTACATTTGTAACTCGGTCATATAACCAACAGGAACGGAATTCATGCCATCATCGGATGATCTTGGACAATCATCGGATGATCTTGGAAAAAGATCCCGAGCCTCTGTAATGAT